TCGGCTTATCGAATTACGTTAGTTATGATCTCGTTTGATATCATATTATAAAAATGAGATCAAATGAGACTGAGATTCAGATATCAAGATAAAAACAGTATTTAGAATTTAAATATTTTTTATAAACAATGAAATGAAATTAGAGCTATAATACAAACAGTGTAAAGTGACTAGTTTGATAAACAATATATGAGATCAGGACTAAAATATATGAAAATGAAATCAACATTAAAATTGATCATGTTTTTATGCACGGTCACACGGTCAATCTATTAATATATATAAAAAATAATTCATTCTTATATCCTTGAAATTTAATCAGACTTTATATTTTATAAATATCAGATTGCAGAACTTTTTTTAATGTTCATTTAATTTTTATAATTTTATTAAATATTGATTATAAAAGTTTCTACTCATTTATAAACTTTTTTAAATTTCCTCACAATATTCTCTACTGTTTATATAAGACTGTGAGTGTACATGGTTTTTCAGAGATTTTCAGAGAAATTCAAAACTTTTAAATTGTATTTATACAGAAAAAAAAATGAGTTTATATTTATTATAACAAAATTTCAACTGTTAATCACAATTTTAATATATGATAGTAAATGATTTCAGTTATTTTTTGTGTAATTGCAGAATTTATAAAAAATATTTTTTATTGTTTTTATCATTCTTTTTATAATTTCATCAGTTTCTGAATGATTATTATTATTATTATTCTTTCATTATACTCGTATGCAAGCAGTGCTTATGATGAGTCCTTGTGTAATGTTAAATACAGACAAGGGTTGGTTATACAGAAGAAATGCTTAATGTTGAATGATGTTAAAAATATAATAGAAATATAAAAAAATTAATGAAAGACAAAATTTGATATTCATGATACAGGTTTTCAGCTCAGAAACAATAAACAAATCAGATAGTAGATCCACCTGAAGGTACCTATTTGACAAGTTCACATCTTTTTATTTTAAAAGCTGAGAAGTTGGCTCTGAATGTAATGTTGTCCCCTTGTGGGTTTCGAACCCACGCGCCTTGGGTCCCCACACCAAGGCGCTACCTGGTGGCCGCATTACCCATTCGGCCACCGGGGCTTATATAAATTTGCTGAGCTGGGGGGGCATATTGGCAGATTTGATGATAAAGGTGCAGATTTGATGATAAAGGTGTGTATTTGAATGAATTGGATGATATTTGAATGATTCTAGAGATACGTGGATATTTTTGGTTATTTTTGCTGTGTTTTGCTACTATTTTTCAGGGGGTGGCAGAAAATTCTGTTTTCGCAAGCTTTACGTCCGCCACAATACTAGCACTCTTAGCTCCACGCCAAACTAGCTTGCTCCAACGGCGTTTTACTTTATTTTTACCTTTATATCTTTATTCATTTATTAATGTCAAATGTAGTCATTAACTACGAAACTACTGAGCGGCC